TCAGAAATGTAGCTTAAAACAAGCAATACTTCAACTTTCAAAGACCATTTCACTGATAATATCGTCAAGAAAGTTGTCAATTCATGCAGTTCAGTGCAGTGTAACTTTCCAAAATAGTATCAACTGGCTTATTAACAGTTGAAATGAATAGTACTCTTACAAAAAGTTCAGAACAATCCAAGTTTTGTAATTAAAGCAGTGTTTAACTACTGCAATCTGCAGCTAAGTTTGATTATTTATTTGAAAACATTTTCTTTTTGAAGATATTTAAAAAGCCTCTTGATATATGAAAGACTTGGAACATGGAAACGTCCAGTGCCTTTAAGCTCTTTGGAGTCATAGAAGACTCTTCTCTTGTGGAAAATATCAATATTGCTTCTCAGAGGCCAGTTAAATGTTTTGACAACTTGGTGAAGAAATTTGATTTCAACCTCATTATCAGTAACCCTAAGGGCTCTTCCAATGTAAAACTTGGTGTCACACTTAAGAAATCTGCACCAGAAAGCAAGAACCAAAAGACAGCAGAAACACTAGTTAGAGCATGCTGATTAAAACTGAATCATAAGGAGCATGCTCTTTATGGAATACTAGATACCACCATTACATGTACACCTGAGTTTAGTATTGATGTTATGATTATCAGCTGAACCAAAAAAGAGAATTAACTTGTAATTGGGCCTGATTAAGATAAATTTATCAGTTCTGACAAAGTCAATTATCAAATGTTCATATTAAATAAATAAAAATATTCCCTTATTCTTACCAGTGTAAGAAAAAGTTCCATAGCATAATGTCTGTAACAAAAATTGTGTAACTACATAATAAGGAATACAACTAGATTTTAAAGTTATGCAATCTGCACGATGTGTTGATGTGTTGTGTGTGTGTTCTCATTTTTGTCCCTGAAATCATATGGAGGGTCACATTTGGTCAGCCTTTGTGAATCATGGTGGTTTTTGTTGTTTTTGTTGTTTTTGTTGTTGTTGTTTGTTGTTGTTTTTAATTCTAGTTGACTTTTGATAATTATAAATGAATAAAGGGGGTTTAAGTTTATAAGGAAACTGTGGTACTGCCTTGGTGGGAGAGTATACCAGGATAATTTAGTATTATCAGTTGAGTTGATAAGGTTTAAAAAGATGACATTTTGAGTGTTAGCCCTTTGTCAGAGCAAACAAATTGTCAGCTTTTAACCTCATCGCAGAGGTGAATTTACATTTATTTATCAACTCGGCTGACAATAAGAAAGTACTTTGATACAATAATATAATGTTGCCATTAATACCACTTATAACCTTGGGGCACCTGTTAGCGCCCTTATTTGTGACTGTCATTGTCTTTCATAACTGATATATAGTAACTGTTGTTCTGCTGCTTGTCTTTTCAGACTTTCTGACTTTATCCCTAATTCAAGGGTTATTTTCTTGAACCCAGGAAATTCTATACAAGGTAGGAGGACTTGCTGCTCTTTTTTTCTCTCATTTTTGAAACTTGCCTTCATTTTGTCAATCTCTAAATAACCCTTTCTCCTTACAATATCAACACAATATCAACCAGATAAGTGATGATCAAGAAATCTATAAATTTGGGGATGATTAGTTGATCCAATACTAAATTCTCTGAAGTAACAATATAAGGATTGTATGGTTGGGAGTCTTAGGAGAATTACAAATTTGATGTGGGAGTTAAAAGATTAACAATTTATTTGCTGGGAATAATCGTGTCCTGTTTGCATATGTTTAAAATTCTGCATGCTCTTATTTCACTCATATCTATGTGAGTATTTATTATTTTGCCTGGTATTTATGTTATATCAAGAACTATGCATGCATGATATTATACCTATTTAATTATGTTGTGATTATATTTGGCTACAAACTTGTGGAAATACCAGAAATAGTTATATTAATATAATAATGGTAATGGCATTGGTACAATTTTGGGTCTGTTCATGGAACTGCAAGTGTTGTATGATGATCAAACAGTAAAATGTGCACTGATTTTACTGGTTTTGATCAATCTACCAAAATGAATTTATTGTGATGCTCATTACATAGATGATCTACTTTTGAGAGTGGAGGTGTGTGATATTCTTTGGAGACTCTGCAGTTATTTAAGTGTTTGTCTGCTTGCTGTCATCATTGTAGGGCTGCAGTGGCTAAGAGAAGTTTCATGTGAGTGTATATATCGACTATTCTTGCGTGTGAGTCCAGGTGATACTGCATATATGGAGCTTCTCAGTTTTATCAATTGAAGTAGTTGTCTCAGGGCAGCTAGCAGAGAGTTTTTTCTCTCAGGTATAACTGACTTGTGGGCTGTGTTCTGCAGATTTGTATGGTGTTTAGTGTTTTGGTGAAGTGTTAGGGAAACCTGATGTTATGCTGAGAGATTTTTTCACTTGTGGTTGATCTGATAACACTTGTAAGCATTATGTTAAAGGAGATTGCGCACTGGTTTTTATCAATTATGCAATTGTTGGTCACCCACTTATAGGGCAGTACATGACGTATTTAAAATCCCCAAGTACGTGTGTTGCATGGTGCTTGTGGATGATGATCATTCTAGTTTATCACCCACTACATTGTTGTTTCAATATTGTTATCAATAGTTTGTCCTTGTGGGAGTGGTGATGGATGATGCCTCAGCAATGTTGCTATAACAACTGTTATTTTGAAATTTCTATGGTCATTCTAGGAGTGGCCAATTGAAGGATGCATATACTCAGTGTGATCATGCAATTGTATTGATGTATATCTTTCTTTGTAAAAGGATCTTGGTAAACATATGCCCGAGATTGTCTGGTTGATTATTTGAGGTGCTAGTTGATGAGAGATTTGAACTTCCAAGCACTGCAACCCCAGGTGCCAGCTGTGTTTAGATGTTTGTTTTGCTGTAAATAATTATGGGTCAGGGGCAGCTAGAAAATATGGCTATGGCACTGGTGACAAAGGGATAGTAATGTAGCACTTATCCTTATAATAGTGGCCAGAGCTTCTTTTTACTGTCGGACTTTGTAACTGTTTGAAAGTGGTGGTGTATACCAAGACTGCAGTTTATTTTGATGTCTGGGGCTTTGTTCGTGTAAGGATTAATGCACTAGAACACCAATTGGAGAGGTAAAAATAAGTGTCACTCATGCCGAATTAATCCTTTGGTCGGATAATTTGCAACTGAAGGTTGTTGGTGAGAAATTTACTAATTCAGTCTGAGTTCTCCTCTCTTACCCAGGAATATGGAAAAGGTGTAGTCACAGAGTTGGTTATTTCGGTTGACAGAATAATAAATGTCAGTGGTTGACGACCTGCCAGCAGTTTGTGGAAGGAGTGCTAGATATGAACCTAGTAATTAATGGCCTAGCTCACCATAGATCTATAGTTGCTGGTCCTGGCTTAGGGGAGGGTGGAATTGGCTGAAGGTCTAAAATTCAACTTCTCATGGGGATTCTGATTTTCTTCTTTGTCGCATGTACATAACAGGGCATAAAAATATATTTCTTCTGGTAAAATAATGTTTACCAAACCATTGGAAAACCTTTCAGCAGAATTAAGCTCCATTGTTAAAAATTATATTCCTACTGGCCTCATGAGAATGCATGGTGATTGGATGATGCTTGTGCAGGTCTGTTGAATGCTTTTGATCACATTTAGCTGCTTTTTTCATTGCAGTTTCAGTTGCAGATAGAGGTTGCATTCCCTTCCTTTTGCTGCTGCATGTAGAACAAGGTTGTCTGTTGAGTTTCTTCTCCCTTATTGTAGTGGTAACTGCAAGAGGTAGATTTTGCTGTTAGACACACACATTTTTGCCAGTGGACACATTTTTTCATGAAGGTGATAATATTACGGAGACTTTTAAGTCTGTTGACTTAGACGTTATTGTTTCACAGTTTAATGAACTGAGAAACCACGTTTTGTACTGGTACATGAGCTTCAATGACCCTGTATTGTATTGGTGACAATTAGAGTTACCTTCATCTGGTAGAGTTAGTACATAGCTTAAAAAGGTGCATTTTATATCAGTGACTGTGCAATCTGTTTTCTAGGGCTGTACTGGTCTAATCATCAATAAGTAGAGAAACCATGAATTGACGGAGTTTTAGAAGTGCTTTTAATGTCTCCAGGTGCGATAATGAAATAGGGACTAGGGAGGAAATCTACAAATTCCTTTTAAGCTGCTCCTCCATCCAGGAATGTGAGTGCTGGGAGGGAGACCTGGTGTCATGTTGAGTGATATACCTGTAAGGAATTACATTTATTTTTGCACTGAAAGGAATGATTAATACCCGGTATTGCCTAATCCCATGAATATTGGGATAGTTAGGGTGTGTAACATGAGTTTTGGCAAGTTGACCCATAACCAGTCTTTTTAAATGGTACCCTCTTTCTGTAGGCTGCTATTTAGTGATTGTTGTAAACACGGTGACCTGAAGTAATATTATTTCCGTATTTGTTGTGTTGGTATTTCCTGGTGTAGTCACCGAGTTGGTCTATTAACTGAGCTGGTAACAGACTCATTCCCATATTGACGACAACTTTCCTAGCATAGTGTAGTTTGCTTCTGATTATGTAGTTTTTGTCCTTGTTGGGATGGTGATGGATGATGCTTTTGCAATCATTCTTCAAGTGACCAAGTTGTAGTAGTGATCTTTGCAGGGTGGTAAATGGAGGTTGTGCAGTCTTGCTTTGATGTTTCACTGTAATTTATATATTTGTGTCTGCTTGTGGATCGTTTTGGAAAACTTATTTCCCCTTAACCTGTCAAATCGCTTTTCATTTCTGTTGTTTATGTCTCTGGTTGTTACTTTGTAAACTGAAAAACAAAAATCTTTCTTAATCTAAAAACTGGGTTGAAATGAAAAATCTCAGATTAAATCTCCCATTAGGTTCTTTCGTTGGTGTTCCTTGCTCACAAGGATTTAAAAAATGACATCACGATTTGAAACCATTCTCGGTCTCAATTGGCTTTCGGGAGTTGTTTTTTCGAATGGGTTTGATTAGCATCACTTAATGTCAATTCTCTTTTTGACAGGTCATCCTGGAAAAGTTAGAATTATGGCTACGGCTATTTCGCCATTTGCGTCTACGAAAGAGACTACCAACTATGCAAGGCTATGCCGCCTCCTGGTGGATGTTGGATCTCAGGTGCTTCGGTCCACTTTTGACACAATACATCCACCAGCGACTCTACATACAGTTTTGGGAAGTACCTCAGTGCATTACGCCACATTGCAATCACTGTACAAAGGGAGGAAGAAAGTGCTGAATCCCACGCAATGGGGAAAGTTGTACCCTACTCACGCACCCGTGTCTTCTGCAGCCTTCGATATCACACTCCTAACGGTGCTTCTTAGAAATATCTGTGGTTTGGGCCCTCCTGCCAATGGATGGGATCGTCTTCCCCTCGCTACAGACATAAGTATCGCAGATGACATCGCTAGAGTTAAGTATTACAGGAACACTGTATACGGCCATGCTTCTCAAGCCTCTGTGGATGACAGTAGTTTCAGTGCTTACTGGCAGGAAATACGAGAAGCTTTGATGAGACTGGGAGGAGCTCATTTAAGGGCTGAAATCGACAATCTTGAGCACGACTGCATGGATCCAGATATCGAGGAGCATTATCGTCAACTGATGAAACAATGGAAGAAGGACGACGACAGCATCAAAGACAAGCTTGAGGAAATTGAAAGTAAGAAAAACATTATCCACTGCCAATGTGTATGAATCAGAAGGCTACAAAAGTATGTATTTCCAGTTAACACAGCAGTGCAGGCTAGCTCGTGAAGTTTTCATTTTGGTTGGAACTAGTCTTATATTTGGAAGGTATTTTTACGTCATGTGTGAAAAATGAAGAGTTAACCCTAATGTTGACTTCCTAATTCGTTAGATTTTACCCGCATATTCTTGAACAGACTAATGCAATCCTTCCTCCACTCAAATTTTTTGTAGAGTATTCCATTTTACATGAACAAAATTCCTGAATGAGGGCTGTGTTAATAAAAAGGGGCAGGAGAAGGCGTATGTGGCTATTTTAATTGTCCCGAGCGAAATACTGTGAACGAAACTTCACAATGCATTGCAGGCAGATCTCTGGTTTGTGTCAGCGTTTTCCTTTTTCTATGATTAAACGACCTGAAAACGAGGGCGGAAAAGCGTTCTTTGGTTTTTTTTAATTAGTTCTTACAATGTTGCTTTTTACCGACAAAAATCTTACTCAGACTATCGACTCTAATGATATCAATATTTATCTCCCGAGTTTCGCTATCAGAAACCGCTGAAGCCGAGCCATAAGTTTTTTTCGAATGTTGTATAAAATTTTAAAAAATAACAAAAAAACAGAGGAAGGGAAAAGGATCTATTTAGTTAACTTTTAATAAATAAAGTGACTCTCACTCGGACTAAAAGTTCCAATGTTATTCCACGAAAGGGTCTTTTGAGAAAATGATAGGCGAAATGGTAAAGATGGACAGCGAACTGAAAGAAGTGAAGGAAAAGCTGTGTACTTTGACAGCCTCAGTGGGAGAAAGCAAGGATGAAGGTCAGTTGAATTATACAGTAAAAGTTATCCTGCTTAACCGCAAATTTCGCCGTAGTCAACATGGCCTGTATGTGAGAGAGGGAGAGATCATCCTATGCTAAAGAGATTCAGTTTTTCAATTTAGTCAATCTCTGGAATAATCTCTACGGTGTACTTTCATTCCCTCCAATTGTTCAAACTTTCACCCGTAATTAGCCTAGAAAACTTTGTATTTTTATTAGAGTGGAGAACGAAGTAAAACGAAGTACAGTTTTAACGAAAACATTGGCATTGAGTTCGGCTCGATGTTAGAAATTAACAGAGTACGTTCCACTGCATTTACAAGCCAAATAGCTTTTGGTCAGGTAATTGACATGAATCATACATTGATACCTTTTTCATCGTCCAAGTAATTTCTTTGGCAGTGGTGTCGTACTCGTTCACTAAATTCAGTGCCGAATACCTAGTAGCATTAGATGTAATCCGCATATTTCTGAATAAAATAACTAAACCCTTCCTGCGCTCATATTGTGGAGTATTCAATTCTACATGGGAAAATAGTTGAATGAGGATCGTCTTGAGTAAAAAAAATTCCTAAGGAAAAGACTGTAGGAAAAACCTCCCACTTCATCGCAGGCGAGCCCCCCGGTTTGCATCGTCCAAGTAATTTCTTTGGCAACGGTATCGTACTCATTCACTTATTTAAATCCGGTGCCGAATACCAGAGAGGCACCACAATTTTCAATGCTGCATTCATCAGATTTCTTACTTATTTTGCTACTGCTAGGTATATTTGATCCAAGTGAGCTTATCAATGGAATTCGCCAGCTGTACAAGACTCGCGACGGATGGCTCTCACCATTTCCATGGTGTGAAGAGTTTCAGTTAATTCTTGGAAATATTTTTACAAGGCTCAAAGTGGTCAGAAGAAAGAAAACGAGAGGAGAAATCACTGACGTATTTGTTGAGATGTCATCAATACTAGACCCATATGAAGATTGTTCAGCGCCGAGAACAGTGTTGATTGAAGGAGAACCTGGTATGGGAAAAACCACCTATTGTAAAAAGTACGCCTACAACTGGGCCACAAACTGCGGCTCAACAGCATTTAAAGTGGTATTATTGTTGAAATGTCGAGACATCCATTCTGACGTCTGGGAAGCCATTGATGATCAGCTGCTGTCCCTAGACATCGATGAAAAAGTCAAACGACAATTTTTTCAGTTTATTCGTGAAAATCAGTCCAGCATTTTATTGATATTGGATGGATTGGATGAGTTACCATCCGGCAAATTGTCGATGTTTTCCGAATTAATTGAAGGAAAAGTACTCCCCAGATGCCACATAGTTGCAACAGCAAGACACGAAGCTGGAAAAGAGGTGAGAAAATGTTGTGACGCGCTGCTTCAGATCGAAGGATTCACTGAAAAGCATGTGAAAGGATTTGTCACCAAGTACTTTAAAGAAAGGACGGATTTAGCCACCAAGCTCTCGAAACGGATGTCGCAAGATAAAAACCTGAGAGAAATAGCGGCCAATCCTCTAAACACAGCACTTCTTTGCCTTTTATGCGAAGAGTCTGAAGGCACACTCCCCGAAAGCAGAGCTCAACTGTACTTGGATATGGTTGAATGTGTTTTGAGAAGATATAGAAAAAAAAAGGGACTACTGGAAACGATAGAAGACTTGACAAACTATTACAAACCGCAATTGAATCACCTTGGAAAGGTAGCGTTGAATGGTTTACTTGACGATAAGTTGGATTTTAATAAAAGTGAAGTGAGAAACCATGCAAAAGACCTGACTGAATTTGGATTTCTGTCAGTGCAGCCTGGTGGCAGCAAACTGAGACAAACACTGCATTATGCATTCTTACATAAAAGTTTTCAAGAATTCTTTGCAGCATTCTTCATTTGTTCTCAGATTCAAAGCAAGGAAATGAAACCTGAAGAACTAGTTTCCGATCCAAGGTATTTCGTCGAACTTAAACAAGTACTTTTGTTTTCATGTGGAATTTTGGCCATGAAATGCGATGAACATGTTGTGGCTCTTGTAAAGAGTTTAACAAATGAAGTCAACAAAAATAAAGGCCGTGGTGCAAAAACTGTATTGGAGGTCATCAACGAATGTAAAAGAGAAAAAAGCGATTTTCACTCGCATTTATCGAAGTCGTTTGGAACTGGTTTGAATCTGACCAATTTGGATTTGTCTTCCAATGGTATTAGTGATGCGGGTGCTACATGTATTGCTGAGGCAATCAAAGTGAACAAGACGCTAACCAATTTGGATTTGCGAAGCAATGGAATTAGTGCTACGGATGCTACATGTATTGCTGAGGCAGTCAAAGTGAACAAGACGCTAACCAATTTGTATTTGTCTAAGAATGATATTAGTGATGCGGGTGCTACATGTATTGCTGAGGCAATCAAAGTGAACAAGACGCTAACCAATTTGTATTTGTCTAGGAATCGTATTAGTGATGCGGGTGCTAGATGTGTTGCTGAGGCAATCAAAGTGAACAAGACGCTAACCAATTTGAATTTTTCTTACAATGGTATTAGTGATGCGGGTGCTACATGTATTGCTGAGGCAATCAAAGTGAACAAGACGCTAACCAATTTGGATTTGGGAATCAATGGTATTAGTGGTGCGGGTGCTACATGTATTGCTGAGGCAATCAAAGTGAACAAGACGCTAACCAATTTGGATTTGGGAATCAATGGTATTAGTGATGCGGGTGCTACATGTATTGCTGAGGCAATCAAAGTGAACAAGACGCTAACCGATTTGGATTTGCGAAGCAGTGGTATTAGTGGTGCGGGTGCTACATGTATTGCTGAGGCAATCAAAGTGAACAAGACCCTAACCAATTTGTATTTGTCTTTCAATGGTATTAGTGATGCGGGTGCTACATGTATTGCTGAGGCAATCAAAGTGAACAAGACGCTAACCAATTTGGATTTGCGAAGCAATGGTATTAGTGATGCGGATGCAAGGTGTATTGCTGAGGCAATCAAAGTGAACAAGACGCTAACCAATTTGTATTTGTGGGATAATGGTATAAGTGATGCGGGTGCTACATGTATTGCTGAGGCAATCAAAGTGAACAAGACGCTAACCAATTTGGATTTGGGAATCAATTGTATTAGTGATGCGGGTGCTACATGTATTGCTGAGGCAATCAAAGTGAACAAGACGCTAACCAATTTGGATTTGTCTGAGAATCATATTAGTGATGCGGGTGCTACAGGTATTGCTGAGGCAATCAAAGTGAACAAGACGCTAACCAATTTGGATTTGTCTGAGAATCGTATTAGTGATGCGGGTGCTACATGTATTGCTGAGGCAATCAAAGTGAACAAGACGCTAACCAAGTTTGATTTGTCTTAGAATGGAATGTCTTGCTGAGGCAATTAAAGCAGGGTTTAAACAACTTTGAAGTAGAAGGGCACTGCCTTTAAAGTAGGCAGGTACCTTTGAAAATTGAGGGCCGAAGGCCTGAACCTCTAGGGGGTCCCAAGAAACGCATTTTCCTGCAATCTGGAGGAAAAAATCTTTCTGCAATGATGCATACTTAATCTATTATAATAAAAAAGAATGGTACTCTGGGAGAATTTGTTTATTTCACTGTTGTTTTCGGAGCCTCTTTTTATCCTACAGTTACAAGTTAAAGGCGCATTTCCAACTTTGATGCAACTCGCGCCGCGACCCAATTTCCTGTAACACGAAATTTCCAGATCACTGAAAACCTTCTAAAATCGTCTTTCTCAAGAGCCATCCTGAACATATAGTCAACAGTTTTACGGTAAATACATTCGCCGTTCGTTATTTCACTGTTTCCTTACAGTATTTTGAATTTAGTCTTGAAGAATCCTAAGAAAAAATTTTTTAAGTGTCACGCCTGGAGCTCTTCGTACTCTGTGAAGAGTCGGCGAAAAGGACAATATTCAAATTTTTTCACTTTCTAGAAGCGCTTGAGGATTCTAAATGAAGACAAAATACTTCCGATAGAAACTGGTATTTTTCACAGAGAAATATGGAAAAATATCAGACTGCCGGACGTTTAGTTATTTGAAGACCGTGTCCGGTAGTGTCTGGTGAAAATTTTCTTAGTGTCACGCTTGGATCTCTTCGTACTCTGTGTACAAGGTCAGCGAAACGGAGAACGTTGGCATTTTTTCACTTTTTAGAAGCGCTTGAGGATTGTAAATGAAGGTAGAATATTTTCCAATGAAAAATTAGTATATTTCAAAGAGAAATATGGAGTTGTTTGAGGACCATGTCCAGCCGTGTCACTGAAATTTTAAGCGCTTGGATGGCTTCGTACTCTGTATACAGGGTTAGCGAGAAACATCAAGTTCGAAATTTTAGGCTGCCTAGAAGCGCTTGAGGATTGTACATAAAGGTAGAAAATTTTCCTATAAATATATTTTTGGATTTCGAAGAGAAATATGGAAAAATATCGCACTGCCGGACGCTTAATTATTTTAAGTGTAGTCACCTCATTGCAGGAACTCCAACGTCAGCGATACTGACAGTTTGCATTACAATTCTTATTTACTGCTTTGCATGGACAACAACCCCGACCACTCTTTCGAGCGCAAGTTCCTCTCCACGGGCAGGAAACTTCAACTGACTTAGTCCTATTTAACAAAGATGGCAAACTTCAATTAAAAAAACTGATGAATGAAAACGTGGTGGATCAACATTTTCACCTTCGAAATGCACGCAAGGATTTTCGCGTTTGTCTTTAGCAACAACCAATCCATAAGCGTTTACTGCCTCGGAATCTACTAAATCAATAGATTCATCCAATTCTATACCGGATTAAAACGTATAGAACTGTCTTAAACAGAATTATTTAGATAAACTCTTCAAATTCATCGGAGAAAACGCAGAAAGTATTTTGAGACGTGACAAGGTAAAAATAACTGACCAATCAGAGGCGCTATTGAAACAAAAGCGGTGGTTAAAACAAAAACAAACGACCGCGTTGCATCAAGGTTGGAAATGGGCCTTTAAATTCAGCCTATAAAGTGATAAAGTGTGAAACTGACACTTTAAGTAGTTTATGAAAACTCAAAGTCTGAGCTGCAATCAGTCTTCGGCATCCAAATCTGGCAGCTCCAAGGCTTTGGAGATTTCCTCTACCTCTTCCTCAACAGAATAGAATAACTGGGCGTCATAATCAGTTGCCTGTACACCAACATCATGTACAATTACCACAGGAACATCCTCATCTGCAGATCCTGGACCCGGTGGTGGTGCTGTGTTGAAAACCTTCGGAGGGCGCTTGCGACGAGGTTTAGCTGCCAACCAGGACGAAATAGCCCCCTACTGCTTGGCCATTGATCAAAATGTGGAGAAGAGTGTTAAGCATGTCATTCTGCATTCTACTGCGGAGTCTGGTTAAGTTTTGAGAAGCTTCAAAGCACTTGCTCCTCTCTAAGGCCACACATCTGACACTGAAAGGGAGACCACTGCATTTGCGTAAAGTGAACAAGACGCTAACCAATTTGGGTTTCACTTACGATGCTATTGGTGATGAGAGTGCTACATCGATTGCTGAGGTAATCAAAGTCAACAAGACGCTAACCAATTTGAATTTGTATGGCAATTGTATGAGTGATCCTGATGCTACGTCTATTGCAGGGAAAATTAAAGTCAACAAGACTCTGACCAATTAAGATTTGTGTAACAATGGTAACAAATGTGAACAAAACCGTGAACTTCTTGAACCGACTTCTGGAGGAATAATTGAAAGGATTGTATTTTCCCTTTTGTACTCTTTCTTTAAGGTAACTTTTTGAAACTTTTTCCTTTTTGTGAACGCATGGCAAAACTCTTGAGGAGCTTTCTTTTAGTTGTCCCTAGTTGCATTTTGATTAGATTACATTCAAGTTACAAAAGCTACCTTTGTTATATTTTCTTCATTTAAGGTGATGATTATCCTCCTGAGGTATTTTCTAAGACCAACGAATTATCTTCTTTGAGAATTATGTAAAGGGCGCAAACAGAGGGTAGTTATAGATACGGCAAGTAAGTTGTTAATATGAATCCACATGGGCAATTAAACTTTGAAACTATTCCATTCCAGTTTAGTCTCGAGTCTGCTGATTCATCTATCAAATTTTGAAGCCCACTAAATCGTTATTTTTCTGTGATCTGTGTCGTTGTCATTTTGTTTCATGCTACCAGATTTCAGCACTACTCATTTTTCTCTATAATTTTGTAAAGGATAATTTGAAAATCGTCGTCGTTTTCCCTTTCTTTTCAGAATATTCTTCTCAATTATAACAGTACATCTCTTTTTGAGCATCACCTTCTTAGAGTTGAAATGCATTTTGAACGGAATTATCAGTAGTTATGGCGAAACCATGTAGAAAACCAAGCGACCCAACGATGGAGTTGTTTACGATGAGTTCCTATTTATCCGTGGAAGAATAAAATTAACTCAAACTAGTCACCAACGAAACGGTTTGACTTAGGAATAAGACTTCGTTTTTGTTTAATTCAATTTTTTTAAACGAATGAAGTCGTTCAAAACTAAATAAAATCAATAGATGTAGAAAGCCGTGCCAAATTCAAGTTGATTGTCATTTCTTTTCGAAGCGAGAGCATAACTTTCTTGTCTTAGTTTTCACAGGCGCTGATCAAAATTTCAAACAAAAAGTGCATACCTGAGCTGTTCTAAATTTTTTTCATCTCTGACTTCAATTCGCGGAAAAGTTTTCAATCACGGTAAAAAGACAATAACAACAAATAACTGTGAATAATACAGTAGGTAAGCGTAGTGATATTTCATTTTGATAAACTTCAACATGAAGCAAGTTTAATTTATTGATGAATTGATTCATGATAAAATTAACAGCGTCCCATTCTTAGAGTTTTCATACAGGATTAAAGAAATGTATCAAATAACAGCCCTTTCGCTGTTTTAAGCCTTGCTCAATTACAAGTGTACTGAGCCCTAAGATCTTAGATCCGGCGCTTGCCAACGATTGTGTTTCCTTTCGTGAATTCAGCATAAATTAAGCGGTAAATTTTCCCAAAATACACCGAATAAACCAAGGGAAGGGACTAGGTTATCCTGGAAATGAGTTCTGAAATAATTCCTGAAATAATTCCTGAAATAATTCCAAACAGCATTATCTCGTTTATAAGCGAAAAATTTACAAATTTACACAAATCCCAGGCGTTTTGATCGCGAGGGGAAAACCAGCGAAATGACGTCCTGAACTTGTTGGGGAGAACGGCAACGGTAACACCGGAAGTCGAAATATAGTCGTGTTCAGACTATCCGTGTGCTTTCCCGTTTTGAAATAACGTTCCCGTCCTCTTGCTAAATCACTCTAATCTTCGTTGAAATATCAGGTCATAAATTACGCACAGTGTGGAGAAGATCAAAATTAAAGAATAGAGTTTGGCACTATAGTCATTACAGACATATCGCGTTGCTTAAAAAGACACAAGTTGAAATACGTTACAGTGTTCTTTACAAAGCAACATGCACACACTCTGAAAGAATTCTTATAGTTTCTCCCGAGATTTGCACACAGAACACGATGAACTAGACCCCCTTTCTTAAAATTTGTTTCCATCATTAATGATTTTACGCTGTTATGGACCACAACGGTTTTGTGCAGATGGACCTGATATTTCAACGAAAATTATCAAGAAGACGCCTTCCGGTCACTTTTGTTAACTTTGTAAGTCACGCAAGTTCGGAAGCGTTACGACCGATTACATTTACGCAACGTTTTAGGGCAGCTCGGCATCCATTCTCAGCAAAAAATAAAAGAAAACTTTTTTCCGACGGGAAGTCGACAGGAGTGCTCCTATCGAGAGCGGCACTTAAGCGCTTCATCCGAAACTGGCACTCTTTTCCTTATTTCTTGGTGATTACAAAACCTTTTAACGCTTCGTAAACTACAGCCCTTTGGATTCAGATATCGAGCCTTGATTACGGTGACAAGCTCCTCGTAAGTATGTTTCTGTTCGATAAGAAACCGGCGGACAAAGTCTTTATCTAAGACATTTTCCCGCTTGAACAAAAATGGTCAGTTTCAATGCCATAAACCGAAAACAAAAAACCAAAAACGAATCGTAATCCGTTTTCAAAATTCCATACGAAAACGAAAAACGAAAAAGAAACTTGAAATTTTTGTTTTTTTGAGCTACAGAAAAAGAAAAACGGAGAGCATTAAGTGAATTCGAAATCCGTTTCCTTCCTGACGAGGAAAAATGTAAAACGAAAATGGAAGTCCAATTTGCTTTTCCACTGCAAAGAAAAACGAAAAACGAAAAACGAAAATACAATTTGAGTTTCATTTTCCTATGCAATTGAAAATCGGTTGGCACTAAGGTACACGGATTATTGCTCTATCATT